CTGTCAGGGTGGAAAGAGTTTATGTTACCTTGAGCATTTCAAAGAGAGCTTTCAGTTGTACAACCTGGCGACGCGAATCACTGTCTGTTGACAGTTTTGGCACAGCTCAAAGGCCAGGGCCCGTCCATGAAAAGTAAATGCCTGAAAGCCCATAAAACTCAACATTCAAAAAAAAAAAAAAAAAATTTTTCACCACTCTGGCCATGCACTCTGCCACTGACGTCTCCTTTCATTATTTGACGTGCGGGAAAGGAACACACAGAATGTATGAAAGTGAAATTTACATTTCATATGTTGCGTCCTTGCTTTTCAGGAGGATGCTTATCCTCAAGCGAATAACCAGGTTCATGAATGGCACATTGGAATGGCAGAATAAAGCACCACAATGTGAAATCCTTGCATGAAAGTCTGAATGAGGTCAAATGTGGTTGTAAGCACGTCTTTTTCCATCTCCCAGCTCATTGTTTCTAGCTTAAGTTTACGATTAAAGGCAGGCCCAGTCAAATAAATGCAGGGGAAAGTTATGTAGACCATAAACTTAACTACTTGCACTTTCCTTGGCCTGACACTGTCTACATCATTTTTGTGACGCTGTAGGTAAAAACTGTTTATTTACTTGGATGACCAAAATAGAACAGGGGTTTGTGTTCACTGGCCAAGACTGTCTCTGAGAGAAAGAGGAAAGATCCTGTTATCCTTATATTTAAGGCCAGGGCACATTCCCATGATACCTCTTTCCGTTCTGCAAGAAATGCTTACTTAAGCTTAGCCCCAGCCAGTGAGTCAGAACTTTTGCTCATCGAAGTGTGAAAGTTTACCTAGACGGCTGAGCCCCATGTGGTAGAGAGAAAGAGTGAGAGTGAAAGACAACTTGGCGTCCATGCCTGTTCTTGGAGAAGAGTAACACAGCAGCACTGTAAGAGCAACATTCCTGTCCTCCTGTGGGCTGTTCATACAGTACTGACAAGAGAACATGCTGTATTTACTCCGACTAGACACTCATCCTCCAAAATCGCAGCTGTCTGAAAACGTATCCTTTTGAGTGTTGCCATCTGTCGCTCAGCTATGCTTCATTATTAGTGCGGTTAGGGGGTTTACATGAATAAACATAGCAAAGGTCTGGACGACTGGCCCAGGATTTCACCTTGTGATTAGACAGAAAAGTAGATTTGTAGTTTTGTTGTCCTCCAACAGTTGCTGTTTTCTCTATTTGAACAACGAGGCATTATGTATCTTCCATTAATATCCTGGATAATTCCAGCGAGCCTATTTGTTTTTTCTCAGTAACTTGTCTGGATACAATGAAAAGGGCTAACCAGCCTTGACACTAAACTGTAGGCAAAAGGAAATCAGATGAGACATATTGGCTAGTTCAGAAGAGTGCCTGAATTATTAGACATAGTCACAGAAACTGGTCTCTCTTGATTGGTGTGTGTGCAGTTCGAAGCTAAAAGCAAAGTGTTTACCAGCGCAGTCATTAGCTAACCCAATATGACAAGGTTCTTGTTCCTGAAGGGTCTTTCATCATGAAGACATAAATGTATAAGCTTGTGGGCTTAGGTAACTGATGTTTTACATATGATTGCTTTAATGCATTTTTGCAGCTCCCAGGCAACAATTGGTTCAGATATGTTTCCATGCATTATGAAAATCAGCTTTCACAGACATGAAATTTGGTTGAGATAAGTTTTAATTTGCATTAAACATCATGTGCTGGTTGGAAGCACTGATGTCTGAGACTGAGAGTCTTGTTGGACAGAAGCTTTTAAACCAAGTAGGAAAAGCACAGAATAATGCACCCTTCATCCTATTTGTTATGTTCCACTGTACAATCAATCTTTTAGGATCATCCCATTTGTTTGAGCTGTGCAAACAGATGGTCAGAAATATTTTTAACCATGGTGAGCAGGGAGTTTTTAAAGTATGGATGAAAGCAGTTAAAACTAATCTACTTCTATTTTTTCAATAAAAAAAAAAAAGGCACCTGAACACTAAGTGTGTAAGGTTGGTCGCTTTTAGCCTATCATCTGATGTGCAATTCAGCAGTCTTTCCTACTATAGTGTGCCAAAATGATCCAGTCCAATCAAAAACTGGACCTGAAGTGGCTATTGATAACCCCCTGTCTAACGTGGCATGATAAATGATAGTTAGAGACAGAGATAAATGGCCTTGGCTCAGCACTGAATTGGCAGATCCTAATTCTTCCCACAGAATGTTTTGTATCTGGTGACAATGCCATGATACCCAGCCAAGGTTTCCAGCCAAACAGTCAACATGAGGCTACTGAAAGTGATTTTTTTTCCCACTCAGAATTGTGTATGGAACAACCATAAAAGAGACTTGCCGAAGTGTTTAAAAAACACTTGTAATGTAGGAAATAAAAGTGTCTCATCTCTTTTAAATTCTAAGGAGGTTTGCATCCCTAGGCTGTACTTAACTGGGAGCTTGCTTGTTAGGATACATGTGGCCTGCATGTTTACGATGGAGGAAAACTCTGTGGCTGTATAAGGTCAGGGCAAAGTCCCAGAGGGATGATCGATGTTGGGTGTCAGTCTATTTCTTCCTGACAGAAAATGTCTCTCGGCCATCAGACAAGTCAGTTATCTTGTGTCAGTGTTTATTACAGCACAGACAAAACCGCAGATCTTTGTTTAGAAAATTAAAATGGGTTAAATGATTTCTAAGTGAATAGAGCAGCTCACCATTTGCTTCAAATTGCAGAAATACAAACAAAGCTACTGGTGGTGATTCACATTTTATGGGAAGAGAAAGATGAACTAAGTTCATTTCAGGAATATTCAAAACACATGTCCTGGCTGTAATCACAGCATTATGAAATGCAGAATTTTCATGGAGGCTTCCAAATATTGCCAAGAGTTCTCAGCAAAAAATGTTCACGGCGCCAGTATACTTTCCAGTGGAGATGGTACGAAATTGTGCACTGTTATTTCTGTATTTATCCCCACACAGCAAAAGCAGAGGAAAAAATACTGTCGATTCTAATTAACTGTGCAACCTTTTGCCAGAGGATTTGATCTTCAGGCATGCACATCTTGCACTCTGCATACCGAATTACACGACATGGGGTTCAACTTTGTCAGTGTGACAATCTGACAGCATGTAAAACTGTCCTGTATCCATTTAAATCACCTGTTTTACAGAGCTGCATGGAAAATGTGTTTCCCAGATGTAGGAGACACCATCCCCTCTCTGCCCCATCTTCTTCTACCTTCAAGCCAAGAACAAGAACAGTGACACATCTTTGGCACAGAATTTGCATCCCCCTCCGTGCCTAATTTCAAACTAACATTGTCCTGAAACTGCCCAGTTCTTTGCTACGTGCCATTTGATGCTGTTAGAGGCAGATGGGGAACTATTTCCAACCTGTGACAGACTTTGTGTGTCAGAGTAATACTGGAATGGCTATTAGAGCGATGACAGGGCCACAGGCTAGACTGGAATGAGAGAATGGCTAAGACACTGACAGGAAAAGATGGAAAAGAGCTGCAAGAAGGCTGCTTGTAATGTACTTTAGTGTGGATGAGTGGGTGGGATGTGGGTGATTGTGGGTGAACAGGAAAAAAAAAAAGCTTTAGAATAGGATTTAACCTCAGGCTTTGTTTAGTTTACTTCCCCACTGTGGAAATAAGTTACAAATACAGCACAAATCAGGCAATTCAATTTCCTTATATCCAGCGTTTTAACAACCACAGTGCGTCTATGTCGTACAAACCTTTTTTTTTTTTATTAAAGTGGTCTTTACTCAAATACTCTTTCAACATATTTGTTCTTCTCCCAGTAAAATAACTTTCCCTTTCATGGTAGAAGTACAGGCTTTATTTGACCAGTGGGAGTGAGGTGGGTTATACCACAAGAAAATCTCACGTCAACACACATCCTCTATTTGAATTGTAAACTGTTATAGTTCGACTCTTAACGTGGATGGTGAGAGTTAAAAAGACAAATAATCGATAAACTCCAGGCTAATTACAGACTTCTGTAAAAAATGAAGTAATGAAGACCAGTTCATCTTTTTGTTCCAAAGGTGTAATGTCAGCTCTTTAGCTGTGTTCTGGGGCTGAGTGCATTTGAAATTATGTCGTCTTAAAGCCTCTATACGGCCCTGATATGGACTCTTTCATACTTCCAATCCTACTTGGCAATGTAGGATTGTAAATAATTTACAAGGGTTTAGTGGAACATAGCACTTTATATTAAATAGAAGGCAGATTGGCTCTCGACACATGAAAAGCAGGATTACTATTCAAGTGTTCCTATAAAACCATATTAAAGTGTCATTAACTTTTTCTTTTTTTTTTGGCCTGTCTGAATCACAGAACAACATTTTGCACATTTTGTAATGATCCATAGGCAGCTGGGAATTTATCAGTATGCCCTCTTCTCGGAATAATCAAGTTTGATGGCCCACATCTAGAGGATCTTTTATTCCTTGGCTCACAATAATAGATTGCAGCCTTTCTGATCAAAGCTTCCTCCACTTGGTTTAACAAAACACAACAGAACAAGTGAAAACTATCAGTGGGTGTAGTCTGCCTCTCTAGCTTTACATGAGGCTATAGTGCTAATTTGTGTTTGGTCTAACCCTCCCTGAAACCTCAGACTTCAGCACTCGTGACCACTGGAAATGTCCTGGAGGTTTGCGGGAGTTCCTTTAACCCAAGAAGAACGAAATTATTGAGGCCATGTTTAAAAATATGCTTCTGTTTTTGAATCAAATTAAAACTATCATTGATGTTCCTAATTTGAAATGTAGGGTTAGACTGCTAAACCAAATTGTTACCAGTTTGTTGACATAGGTCTGAGGTTTACAAGGAACTTGGTTCACACACGTGGGAGTCTAAATAATCTAAAACAACTTATATACATATTATATGTATAAAGCTCTAAATTCACAACTAGGTCACAGTTTTCTGTTCAAAGTATACTTTCCCAAATCCCTATAATCAGTTGTGGAAATTTCTCTTCTCTCTTTTTTCAGAAAAATTGCTTGTCTTAACTGTTGCAACGGAGGAAACAGACGGCTTCCTCCGCTTTATGCAGTCTGCAAACTATTTCAACTACACTGTGAAGGTAAGAGGGTCTCTTATATTGTAAAATTATGTCAACAAATGGTCAGTATGTCCCAGCAAACAATGCTACCCTCTCTCACACACACCCACACACACACACACACACGCACGCAGAGCAGCCAAATGTTTTTTAAAACACTCTTCCCAAGATTGATTAGGCCTGTTAGATGAAACAATGAAGTGCAGCAAGCTGCAAAAATAAAGGCGCACTCTACAGTGTGGGTCCCGAATTTCCCTCTGTGGCAGTAAGCAGCAGCAGCAAAAAAAACAAACAAAAAAAAACATAGTTTTTTTGGCTTGAGTTAATGTCCTGCTTGCATTTCCATACTCCTGTGTGATCCTGCTGCACCTGTACACCATCTGCTGCAGACACACTCTTGCAAGCTGCTTTCCTTGCCTTTTTTGGGCCTTTACTCATCATGGTCCATGCGAGAAACCTTAAACACCACATTAGTAAACACAGAATAACAACAATCTGATAGTGTGACTGCAACACAGGTGTTACCTCAAGTATATTGGCTCATGTGGATCATCAGCATGAGACTAACCTTATTCTCATTTATACCAATGGGAATGTGTAGAAGTTTACTCTGGCCGCATTTACACACTGGAGTGAATGAAACGTGCCGTTCTAGTGATCACTGAGAGAAAAGAATCATCCAACAGTATAATATGACTGACCCACTTTCCACAGCACCTTCTTCAGCCCATTTTGAATCAAGTGTAATTTTCTTGATATTAGTGGATTAGTGGATTGACTCATGTTACTCTGCTCTAATTTAGCAAAGGTCTTGGAAAAAAAAAAAAAAAGTTTTACAGCATTGCAAGGCTGCCTTTTGGGGATTTTGGGGGGTTTTAAGCCAGTTCATGTTGGGCTCTACAATGTGTCCACCTTGTGTTCTGGCTCAGGTGTTGGGAATGGGAGACGCATGGAAGGGCGGTGACGTGGGACGTTCTATCGGTGGAGGGCAGAAAGTCAGACTACTGAAGGAGGCCATGGAGGCTCTGGCTGACCAGGAGGATCTTGTTGTCCTTGTCGTGGATAGGTAGGTTGCTTCAGGCCAATATTAGCTTGCCTTTGTAGTGTTGCTTTCTTAGTAATTCAAATTCAGACAGTAGTTTACCAAGTGAGAGGATTTCCAGCCAAAATACATCTCAAAGCCTAAATGCTTGTTCCCAAGATATACTTTAAAATACTTAAATGGAGAGAAGTGATTGTGAATCCACATGTTTGCAACCACTAAATATAATAAAGACAAAAAGATCAAATTGTTTTCATTTTTCTTTTCTGACTTAGAGATGTTCAGCTATTACCCAAAGATAATTTTGATTGCGCTTTGATCTGATTTAGCTTTGATTTGATTTAGCTTTGATTTGAAATATGAAACATTTCCATAACAACAACGGGACATAAACCACCTTCAATTACTGTGTAGATCTATGAATCTGAAATGAAACTCATTTTCACAATCACAGCCTGTAATAATTGCTTTGAAAGCGATTCTTCCTCAGTGAGAGGTGTCTCTGCATGATTATGTGGCCCTCTACTCATTTACGCAAAGGCATTATTATAGAGCATCAGCAAATATATGAGGGGAGTAATTCTCACATGCAGGTAGCTGAATTATGAGTTTTCAAGGCCAATGGAAAGTTTCACTGAGTTAATGTGAGTGGTTTAGAATAATAACAGCTTTGAAGGCCATATTTCCTCAAATAGAGCAGATGATGATGATACTTACTGTAGCATGTCACATGAACAACGCTACCTATAATTACTGTGCAAAGTTGTCACACCCTTGAAACAGGTAAATGGAATGTAATCTTTTTTCTGTCTTCTTGTGGAAATGATTGTAGTGTAATAAACTGCATCCACTCTTCACAGGAAATAATAAGCCATTCAAATGTATTTTAAAATCTATAATCCAGCGGGGCCACCTCGGGTGTTTTAGACAGCATCAGCCTCTGGTTCAGTCACAGTCTTACATTTTGTCTGAAATGTTAAATGAAACTGAAATTTATTGAGCCTCTGAGCGTGTGCTAAATTCCCAAAACAAAAATAAAATGAGAGAAAAATTCATGAAGTGGTTGAGTAACATGTTTCCTCTCACTGGTGCGCAGCTTTTTTTGGATGAGTTTGCTCTTTGCTCTTTGATGGGTGTGACAAGGGTTAAAGCCGATACACATCCATGTAAGAGTAGGGCTGGGCAATATGACTTCAAATCAACATCACGATTATTTCGAACATTTACCTCGATTACGATTAATGAATGTTTACTTTGGCACTTATTGGTCTCTCTCTCTCTAACTCTCTCTCTCTTTGTTTTTCAGCCATGCGCTCCTCATATTTGGCAATGTGATTGTGTTCCAAGTCATTAAACAAATTACCTTTGGTCATTATCCATGATGCATTCAACACTGTCTGGTAGTCGTAACTGATAAAACCCAATCAAAAGGCGAGTGTTTACCAGGCGTAAATATAACAAAAGTGATGCGTTTTAAAACTAAAACATATTAGTGTGGATGTAGCTTGAGGCTCGGTGTTTGCGCTTGTGTCATCCATATTGTCAGCTTCACTTTGAGTGAATGCAGACTAACATTGATCAGACAGGGCGGAGGCAAATGACTGAACACAAGGTAGTATTGCAAGATCAAGTCGATTAGAGGTTCTAAATGTTGGTCTTTAATTTTTCAGTTAATTTCCCAGTCCTTTGTGAGAGAAGACATTCAATACAGCTCAAAATACAACCCTCGGCTTCTCTCCAGTCAGCTATTGATTGAATTCATCTGGTTAACGTTAATTAAATGAGTTTTGGGAACCAGGGGTTAAAACCCACTGGGGATCTTAAACAGCATTTTAGTCCTGAGTTATCCTCTAAAACCAAGGTAAAACCAAATATGATCTGTTATAGAAGCAAAGCAAAGAGAGAGATGATATAAAAAAGATGGGTTCATTCCCAGGTCAGGTTAGTCTTAATATATTTATTTTCATATAATTAACTTTTTCAACACAGTCCAGTATGTTCTCTTATGGATTGCAGGTGCTTTTATACTGGCATAATAACTATGATTGATGAGTTAACAAGGGACAGAGGGTATTCATGTGAACATGTGTCAGCCAGATGTGGATACAGTAGAGCGTGCAGGCTTTCTCACCTACATTAGACTTCCTTTCTTCTCATGACATGCCCGACTGAGGGGGTTCAGGCTGTCCAAAGTAGGAGTGTCTTTCATTTTTCCTAAAACCTTACATAAACTGCTGTGTATATAACATAATTTTTTTTTTTTTAGATCAGTTGATTTTACTGCAGTACACAGACACAACTAGAGAATCAAAGTCACTCCTGGAAGAGTGTGTTTTATAGCATGAATCAGCTCTTCTACCTTTATGGCTTCACACCTTAAAGTAATAAAATCCCCAGAACCATTAGGATTTTACACACACAAAAATATCTGCCCTTAGAATAAGAACAGGCTTTTAAACAAGTCACCACAAGGCCCATGTAAACGGCTAGGCACTTTTTCCTCTATCTGTCATAGAACTCGACAGGCAATGCTTGCATCAACACAGTTTGTGTGTCTTTGTGTGTTAATGTCTGGCAAAGCTTCTTCTTCTGAATTTACCTTACAATCCAGGAATGTGTCCCTATACAAATGCTCACTCATGAAGAAGGTCCACTGTTTACATTTAGATTTCTATCTGTCTGAAGCAAGTAGAAGCCTGGGTTGTGAGTCAGATGTAAGTTGAAACATACTTGTTTAAGAAAACTGTCAGACTGCCCCTAAAGGATAAAAAAAAACTGATAAGAATCTGTTGCATTTCATTTTCACTCCTCCCTTTTAGCTATGATCTTATCTTTGCCGGGGGACCAGAGGAGATTCTCAGGAAGTTCCAGCAAGCCAATCACAAAGTGCTCTTCGCTGCAGAGGGACTGATATGGCCAGATAAGCGACTAGCTGACAAGTACCCATCAGTACGCAGCGGCAAGCGCTACCTCAACTCCGGAGGTGGGTTCCAAAAATTCAAAGTATGATCGAAATGCTCAATGATCAGGCGACGAAAAAGTAGATGTTAAAGTGTCACCCAAGAAATGCTGCTGCATCTTTTTAATCTGGTCTATCTCTAACTCTACCCTGACCCCAATGTTTCACCTTAACCAAAGCTATGTGCAGCTTTAACCTGAAGAATAAATATATACCACACACTCATTCACACTCATTCGTAGAGGATAAATAATTACACTTCACTTCTGTGATGGTTATCTGAGTGGGACAATGTGAAAAAATATAATTTTAAAATCTGTGAACTACTAAATGGTTGCCATTGTATTTATATTATGTGTATAGCAATTTTATGTTGGGGTAGATTACTGTTTAAACTTGTTGTAAACCCATAGCCTCCATGGGTGTGGAGGGGTTTATACATTCTACCATCAGCTGTCAAACTTTGAAGACTTGCAGGCTTAGAAAGAATTCGGGGGGCTAAACGACGGCGCAACCCTAAGTGTTATTGGTTTAGAGAGTTGTGGAGTGACTTCAAGGAATAGCAACAAACTGGTGTTAGCTTTTACATATGAAACCACCAGACTTTTACTATTATCTCTTAAAAGGAAGTATATTTTCTCTGTAAACTTCCTATCTGAGGTATTTCCTGTCCAAGCGGACAGGAGGTGACAAAGGTCCATTCATCTGAATGTTAACTGCAAACTTTTTTCAGTCCCTTTCACTCTAGATTTTGTTTTTTTGTGATCACCCTCCTCTTCCTATATATATATATAAGGATTTAAAAGTTTACTCTGGATTTTACAGGGGGCCAGAGCAGAGAAGTTACTATGGGAGAAATACGATGTGTTTTCCTGTCAGTACACATGCAGCAGCATTCTGGATCAGCTGGAGAGTCTTTGGAGATTTCTTGCGGTTGTCTGATAATAAGGAATAGCAATAATCCAGCCAAGATGGGAAAACACATGGACTAGTTTTTCTGCATCTTTTTGAGACAGGATTTTTGGAATGTTACATAGATCATCAGTGCACAAAAGACGCAGAATGAGAGAAAAATAAGTAGTGAAAGTGCAGATGGTTTAACGAAGGAGCAGTAACAGAATGTTCCTAAATGGGCCAGCTGCATCCTGCCCGTTCTTCAAGACACTGAATTACTGCTTTCCCTGTGGTCATCAGCCCGGTCTGACCTCCCATATTGGAGCCGTGCTGTCTCACAGACTGATCAGAGACTGTTTTTAGCATTCACTGTCATTGACATGACATGTGGATTTGTCTTGGCCCCCCGAATGTGCCACAGTTTGTATAAAATTGTAGCTTTTGTTTGTGTTCCTACGGATACCGCCCAAGTGACCATCGAGGGAATGTTTTATGGCATCTGGACACACACTACAGTGTCACAGAGCGTAGAGTGTTTTGGAGATGGAATCAAGATACAGAAGGGTTGTGTTTTTGTGTGACTGTGTGTGTTTATTTAGGAGGACCAAGCTAATAATGACTGGAACTACAGAGCAGTGCAAAACAGTGACTTTTTCCAGACAGACTGGGACAAAAAGGCATACACTTCCCAGCGTTTTCCAGGATCTGCTGTTTTTTAAGCCAACATTTTGTGGACCAGCTCCTGACAACATGAATTGCATCAAATCTTGTGATTTCTTTTTAACTTTTTCTTGCCCCTGCTATTTAGATTATGTCATGTCTATCAATTGAGTTGTTTACAGTGTCTGTGGCTTTTTTTTTTTTTTAAATGATGGGATGCAAAATGGCGCATTGACCAGCAACATAGCCAAACCCTGCAATCTGTTACTGTGGTCAGTGACCTTGGCCCAGAGAAGGAAAACGAGGAGACAGGGTAAAACTACAGTAGAGGTTGCCATGTGAATGTACATTTAGAGACGGTGTTAGATAGTAGTACACACTGTTCCAGAGGCTCGGATAGTAGTGAGTTGTGAGACAGTTATAACATATAAATTACAACTTTCGTACTGCCCATTTTTACACTTTCTATCTGCAGACTGTGGGAAGAGAAAGTCCCCGCCCATTTCTTGTGTGCTCGGGATTATTGCCAAAAATCACTCTTTGTGTAAGGCGTTCAGGCTTCCTAGAGTGAAGTCTTTAAACCGTGGAGCCAGCAGATGCAGTCTAATTGTCACCAACGGTCTGCCAGTTGTATATGACCTTGTAAACGTCTCTCAACCTATACTTTAGAGCTGCATATGTGTTTCACACACTGTTTATTACTTGCAGGTATAATCGGCTACGCCCCGTACATAAACAGAATAGTTTCACAGTGGAACCTCCATGACAATGATGATGACCAGCTCTTCTACACCAAAATATATGTGGATCCTTTACAAAGAGTAAGTATCTTGTGTCAACACCAACACTTAGTCTGAAAACATATCCCTTGAAAACATACTGTATCTTAGAAGGCTTACCAGTTATCTCTGTTTTCATGTCTTTCAGCAAACTCTCAATATGACTTTGGACCACAAGTGCCAGATTTTCCAGAACCTGAACGGGGCAGTGGGTGAGAAATCGCAGCAAATGAATTTCATAATTCAATTTCCTGCTAACCTGTATATCATTTGTCAGATATTTTAAACTCTGTTACCTAAAACCCCAGTTTTATGAAAAATTAAAACTGGGTTATTAAATAACTTATGCTGCGCTGACTTCAACCAACCGTGTTTTGCACCCACACTCTTGTGAAAGTTTGCATATCTTCTTGTAGTCTTGGCAACTTACCCTGCAAATTAGAAAAATTCACAGCTCTTGCCCATGTGGTAAGTTGATTTCCTAACCTGGCCTTAAATGTCTCGTGTTCCTCTTTTTGGCAGACGAAGTGCTTCTCAAGTTTGGAACAGACCGAGTGAGAGTTAGAAACACAGTGTACGACTCTCTGCCAGTGGTTGTCCATGGCAACGGAAACACAAAAGTGAGTAAGAAATGATGCCCTCTGGCACACCAAATATAGTCTACTTATGGCACAGCATCGATACTTTTAAGTTAATCATCCTCCTCTACGACACTAGCTTCGGGTTGAATTATTAAACCCATCTTTCCCATTTGCTAATGAGTTTCTGTTGGCCTGTGCCTTTTAACATTCATCACCAAAGATTGCATTTCAGTGCATAAATTCCCACACATTCGGGAAATATACATAGTGTTCATGTGATACTTTCCAGACCCGGTCCATAAAAGCCAGCTCATTATTTTGTGGAGAAGAGAGCTCTGGCCAAAACTAGGTTATAATGCTTAAGTACATTTTCTCTTTTCCATCTCTGTGCATTAGAGTGACATAGAACAATAAAGCTAAAAACCAGGACGTCCGTACAATACCATCATCATTCTTTGTTTTTTTTCCGGTCTTAACCCTTCCCCTAACTTTTCACGCGTCTTGCTCCACCACCAGCCGCCTGTCTTTGGGCCTCCTTGGTAATGAACCAAACCCACCATACTGTTGAGTCATTCTTCCCAGAGGCTTCAACAGCTGGAGGAGAAACTCTAAATGGTAGATCACAGAATCCATTTCCTAGCAGTGGTTACCACTGGAGCTGCCTAGTTGGATCTCTGACCATTACTTTATTATTATTTTCCAGTCTGCATGCCAGGTTCAATCTGGTGACGAACACATGATGACTATGTTAATGTCTGTGATAAGAGATGTGTAAACAGTAGCACACTTGAAATTGCATGTTCCCAGAAAATGCGTAACGTTCCTGCACACTAAATACAGAGCGGCTATGGTTTTGATTACTATATGTTGAAATTTATGAAGACAACTACAAAGAAAAGGAATAATTACACTAGATTGTCAAGTCTCAATTTCAGTAGAGGTGACTTTTATAACCCTGTGGTCTTTAGTCTGACTTAGTGATAAGTGACTCTGCCAGGTCATCCCACGTCCTCAAAGTAAATCTATGTAGGACTTTCCAAAGACATCAGGAAAATGTTTTAAGTGAGCTCTGCTGAGACATAGAAAAGCTTTTGCTTATGCTGATGTTAATCTTCTGCATCCAGTCATTCACCTGCTCTGAATTCTTTCCTTCACAGATGTACTTGAACTACTTAGCCAACTATGTCCCCAATGCATGGAACTACGAACATGGATGTAGCCACTGTGATGACGATGTTGTGGACTTGTCTCAGTTAAAAGTAAGTTTTTCCAATTAAGTCATTTCACTTCTATTTGCTGTCCTCTTTAGTCCATTTTTAAATTCCTGCTGTGGAAAGTTTGTCTTTCGCCTCCTCCCTGTGGACAAAGGAAAGGATGAAACATAGCCTGGTCTTCCTAGTATAAGCCATCCATCTTTCAGTGACTGTCTAGACCATAGGAGTGGAGCCTATATAGCCTTATTTCAACAGATATGCAGGACTGTTGGTGCTGCACACACTCCCTTTCCAAGAATAATAGGTTATGTGCCCGCTGGTCCTTTTGGACCCTTTTAAAAAGAGCATAAGTGCCAGGGAAACTCCTTGGGGAAGAGGAAGCACTGCACTGCTGTGGTGCAGGATATGGCTTCTGGGGTTTTCAGAAGGGCTCATTTAAAGGGGTGTCACTGTCAACCAGCCTTGCTTTTAGTGGGCTTCTCAGTATGGGTTTTATCCACAATAGTAAGTTATAGTGGTTACGCTGAAAATTTGTCACAGAGTTCAGCCAAGACCGGCGACGTATAGACAGCAGGAATGACAGGCAGGAGGAAATGTCTGGCTGTGTGGTTGCTTCTGTCAGAATTCTCTTTGTGGGCAGAGTACTGAAGCATTCACAATACCCAAGTCTATATATTCTATAATCCTTGTTTTTATCTACTTTATTTCTGCAAATTAATTTGGTACAAATCTGTTCAAAAATGTGACAAAATGTGTCCTCGTAATTAAATAACATCAGTGTTTTCACACTGCACAAACAGCACAGCATCTATCACAGAATATAACACTGAGGCGTGCATCCTTAAAGATTTACTGTACTCCCAGAGGCTCCATGAATAAATGTGCTTCAATAGTTTAACTGGAGCTGATTCAATACAAACCCAGCTACATGAAAGGCGGCTCTGTGAAAGCTGCTCTCGGTGATGCTCCATAATGGTTGCAGAAAAGCACTGCTTCTCAATAATAGGCAAGTTAGTGAGAGTATATCGTTCCACTGTGTCAGTCTGTGTTTGGGACAGAGACTTCTGGAAGATCAGGTCATGTGGAAACACTGGTCATACTGCCCTTTCTTGTGAGGTAAACCCAGATCACTGGCAGTACTGTGCGGTTCTTTGTGTGCTTTGGTTTTAGGATTGATCTTAGGCCCTGCAAAGACACTAGAACCAATACTGTGCCAGCCAAACCACCTTGCTGCCTACTGTAGATTTGTCTCTTGTGGTTGAATGAAAGTCGAGGTGTCGCTTCTGTCTGCTTTAATAGATGCTTTGCTTATTTAGTTTGGCCTTTCACTGCTCTTTGTGCCACTCCTTTCCCTTTGCGCCTGTACACTGTCCCTTCTCTGACAATTTAAGCTCCAAGTGGCTGGATGCATGAGTTCCCCTTCGTGTGTCTGAAACACAGTCATTGTGGAACTTGCAAATTAGACGGTTCGGCTCGGATCCCTTTTGATCCCTGGCCCAGACCTTTGCCATGAACTGGTCAAGAGGATCAGGAGTCCAGACTGAGCTGTGTGGGCTGGAGCTGTGTGTCATGGGAAAATGTTTCCTCCTCTCTTCTGTGTCTCTTGCTTAATTTCTCTCTGTCTTCTTTGCCTCAACATCTTGTACATGGGCTTCCCACTGCCAAGAGTTACACGTTGCAATCAGAGTTAGAAGTTAGAATTCCCGTAAAGTAGTATTTTTTAATGTGCTTATCTAATGGGAGTTTTTTAGATAAATAACATCAGCTGTCCTGTCTGTACCACATATTTTTCCACAGATCACACGAATTATAAATGTAAACAATTGAACTCAGAGAATAATAAGGGTCACGTCAGTTAAATACGATCAAATAAGTGTTTTTAAAGCGAAGACAGAGTTGTCATGCACACCATCTGTAGCAACTTTACTGTTTACATCTGACTTGAAATGTCAAAATCATCAGTGATTTATGTTAAACACTGTTTGAAATAGTACTGATTTGTCTCTCCTCTAATCTAAACAGGACTTTCCAAATGTGTGGGTTGGAGTGTTCATTGAGCAGCCAACTCCATTTCTTCCAGAATTCTTCCAGCGGCTGCTGACCCTGGATTATCCAAAGGATAAACTCAAACTTTTTGTCCACAACAATGTGAGTGTACACAGCTGCAGCTGCAGCTACATCACTATCATACATGACTCTTTATATGTGGCTCCTAATCCATTAACACTGGCTCCCTCCTCAGGAGGTTTACCACGAGAAGCACATCCAGAAGTTCTGGGAAGAGAACAGGAATGTGTTCAAAAGTTTCAAGGTTGTGGGACCAGAAGAAAATTTGAGCCAAGGGGAGGCCAGGAACATGGGCATGTATGTGTGCCTCTAAGTCTATCATCTCTCAGAATCAGTGGTTTGAAAAGCAAGACTCATGAAACCATATTATGGTACTGTTGGCCCAGATTAATCTTAGCTGTGTGGAAAAGTTGCCAGCTAAATTACTTTTTAAGCTCTAAATGCTGCTTTCATGATTTCTATTTAAGAAAGCAGTCATCTTATGTTGCAGAATACAGCACAGATATTAAACAGTGGTAATGTATCATTTCCTAGGTGTTCATTTCAAACTAATTACTTTATGTGTGCATGTACTGCAGTGTGGTTGGAATACTGTCAGCTCAATAATTTACTCTCCAGACTCTTGATAATATCTTCTCCCTTGGCTGGACTGTAGAGACATGTGGATGTGATTTACTACATGGCAGCCCCACAGGTGCAGTTTACTCCTACTTGGACCTTCCTGTCCTTGTTCAGTGTTGAGTAACAGTGTGTTGTCACAGTGAAAATTCAGCCTCTGAGGCCTCATCACAGAGATTCTATCAAAAGCAGAGCATGCCTAAAAGCATTGGTCAGGACATCCCTATAATGAAGAAGTCTAAGGTTTATTAGCAGTCTCTAATCTTCCAAAAATCACATTATCCACCGGAGGCTTAAAGATAGTCTGACTCTGCAATTGAAAATAACATCTTATACTTATGGAGCTGATAAATTTCAAATTGTGACTGTGATTGCTTCCAAGTATTTCATTGACTGTATTCGGCTCTGGATTGAATAATAACTGCTTTCTCTGCCATGCCTGTGTTTTCAATTTCATTAGGGATCTTTGCCGTAAGGATTCCACATGTGACTACTACTTCAGCATAGAATCAGACGTCATGCTCACCAACAGACAGACACTGAAGCTCCTCATTGAGCAGAACAGGTAATCACACTGGTAACTGGAATAGAAGCATTACGGGAACCCACTCAACGAACCTCCTTGATAGCTGTTATGATCGTTGAACCGTTCAATTTATCCCTCGAGTGGCAAAACCACAGGAACATTACAGCCGAGTGAATGAAAGTTTAAAAATAAGCCGCTCTGGCTTCCTGTTTTCGCCTGGCCACATGGAAACAGTGAAAGTCTGTTGCACTAACCCCGAAATGCCACTTTGCATTATACAAAAAACAAACATGCAAACCCCTTTTTAACCGTCTGCAGCTCATGATTGTGAAGAAAGCTTCCCATAAACTAGATGTCATTGTGGCTGTGGCCTGGTATCGTGACCTGTTGGAGGCTAGGGCATGCAAAGCAAAAGCCTCTGTAGGATATTTAAAGACGGCATTAGAATTCTCTACTGGCACAGAAGCTGTGAGAGGAAAATGCCAATCTCTCTTTACCAAGACAATTTAGCATTAGTATACTGTAGAGCATCCATCTCCATCCGTATCAACTGACACTGAATTATGCCTCAAATTGAAAAAAAATCCTTTCATTTTGGTTTGGGTTAGTAGCACTAAAAGAACAACAGTGGAAAAAATCCTGTGTTATTGTATTTCGTGCAAATTCAAAGAAAAAGACCAAAAAAAGAGCCTGCTGCAGCAAGTCTTTGTACTATTTCAATCCAGTCCAGCATGATGTATGAGCCTGGTTTGCATTACGTACTTCTTACTTCTACGATCTTTTACTGACTTGGCGATGATCATATCTTTCCAGTAAGAGGCTGATCTCCTCGATGCAGCATGCTGGTTTTACCACTAAGGGATCCAGTGCATTAGGTGGCTGCCTGTCTGTGAGATGTCACTGAGTTTTATCTGCTTTGACAGAATTACCATCTCTCCACTGTCTCCTGCTTCTCTACAGAAAAATAATTGGTCCCCTTGTCACTCGTCACGGCAAGCTGTGGTCCAACTTCTGGGGAGCCTTGAGCCTGGATGGTTATTACGCTCGCTCTGAGGATTATGTCGACATTGTGCAGAGAAAACGCGTGTAAGTCACAAGTGCAATAAAGACACACAGCTTTGCATTTTTATGGTTCGTACACCTGCATGCGAGTATTGGATCTCTCGGTGTTTATGGCTGTAAATAACTCTTGTCCTACTGTGCTGAAACAGCTGATAGTTTTGTTTCGCCTGAAACAAGACACATAAGATGCCTTCATTATGAGCTATGTCCTAGGATGCACACATGAAGAGTCATTTAAGCCACAATCAGACCTGAGCAGTGATAAAGCACTGAGCATCAAAGCCTGAGGCGTCGCTGGCTGACTCACTTTTTATGTGTTTAAAAATAAGTAGAAATGGCACCCACAAGGCGCAGAGGAACAAACATTCACCCACCACAGTGGAAACTGGTTTAATCACCCGTGAACCTGCGGGGAGGGAAAACAGCGGAGGGATCAGGTCCTTGTCGCTGCACTAGCAACTCCTACAGTACTGGTTAGTTAGCGTGCCTGTGTGGAGGAGGTTGGGATCCGGGAACAGTGTCAATCTCCAGGCTGACAGTGGGAGTTAGCAGTGACAGAGAGTGAAGTGTGATGGAACTATTCATCTCAAATTGGGAGAAAAAACAGTTTCACTTCAGTGAATAAAACAAAAATCTTTACAAATTGGTTTCTCTATATTTGTAACCCAATAGACAAAACAGTTTGAATGAATAACACTGACATGCTGCTTAATTTTACCATGTAGCTCTCTAACACGCTCCCCAACACCTCCTACAATATACCTGTAGTCATGGATGGCATGAGTATCACAATGAAAAATGTCCCCTGGCATCCCAAGAATGCAAATTTTAACAGTTACAGCAAAATTAACATTTCTTTCTCTGTGTCTTGTTGTTTCTAGGGGTGTGTGGAACATTCCTTACATGGCACATGTATACCTTGTCAAGGGCAATGTCTTGAGGAATGAAATGAAAGAGAGGAACTACTTTGTTCTGGAGAAACTGGACCCAGATATGGCTTTGTGTAGAAATGCGAGAGAACTGGTAAGAAGGCCCCAGCTTCCATCTTTCGGAAGGATTCATGTTGTAAACTAATGTCAATACGCTGTAGGCTATTTCAGTTATGTAGTCCTTAAAATATGAATGTTATCTCTTCATTCAAAACATGTCTAAATAAGGATGTAACCACTTTCAGGGATGTTTAGAAAATGGAATTCTGTAGGTTCATAGAGAAAAGATTTGGCACTGCTAGTTTAAAAATGCAATGAATCATAACCCTGACAAAAGTCAACAGCTCAACGGAAACCACAGATGAAAGCTTGGCAAGTATACTTGGTTTGAAATGTCTTTGTCTGTCATCAAGGCATGATTCTTCTTCTGTTTACGGTTGCTCTATGGTGTGTTCAGGTTCCTTGCTCCACTTATATCCCATCACCCTTCACTTTCTCTTGCCCTCATTGTCATATGACCACAGACAGTGCAACCGGTTGCAATGCCTGGCTGGCTAGCTGACAAAAGTTGCCTTGTCTGTTATGTGTTTTTCTTTTTCCACCTTTAAACTCTTCAAATGGTTATCCAGCTAATGCCTGATGTCACTGACTGACATGCCACATGTGCTCAGCTCTAGACAACTAACAATGCCTGATCCAAACTCGGTGTATGCTGTTGGATTGCTTGGCCTTTCCCCTCGCCCCCACGTGCATCCCACCTATGTTAACCCACAAAAACATCAGCTTCAGAGGGAATCTTGCTCCTTTTTCATGCAGGCGAATTTCCCCTCCTCCTGAGTTGCTATGTATGTGACATATATATTTCAACTGCCACCCTGTCTCTTCCTCTGAAACACTGATTCATGTTATCCTATTTACATGATGCTTCTCCTTTATTTTAGACCAGTCACAGAGAAAAAGACTCCCCTTCTCCGGAATCATTCCATATGCTCAGGCCCCCAAAGGTTTCCATTTGTTTTAATTACTCTGCTTTGTGAAACATCCATTTCCAATGGGTTAGCACTGAGAGGCCACTCCAAGCTATGGCTCATTACATAGGCAGACACTTTTTCACGTGCAAAAGACGTGTACTTAATTTGATTGAGGATTTCTTGGCCATGCTGAGTTAAATTCTGTAAATTTGTAGGTTTTTAAATAGTTTCCTACATTGTGTTCTCCATTGGAAATCATATGAACATTATCAGGTTTTATTTCAGATTGGGCAGTTCCATATTTACAGAAAGTGTTAATTAATATTGATATTAATATTGAGTAGCTGTCTATGTCCTTTCATAAGAAATCCAGATGACTGGCAGCTCTTTGGAAATTGATGTTGACTTTTTGCTTGTGATGAGTTTAGGTAAACGCGGATTTGTCTAAGCTAGAGAGAGAAAGACCAGTGCTCTGTCCTGTTTTTATAATGGCTTCCGAGAGGAGATCAAGGAGGAGAAAAGAGGACTGGAGTCAGTCCACATGCAAGTCCCCTGTCCTGATGCTTTGCCCCGAACAGCCAAACCTCACAGCAAACACATGTAACGAGCTGCTCCCTCTAAACACACTCACTGATCTCAGACTAGGCTCCAAAAATAATTTGTTTCACTCGTGTAAACCTTCTGCTCTAAATCACAGCTTTCACAAGCAATTTGGAAACTTAAGCTGGGAGCTTTTAAAACCATCCTGAATTCATCAGTTTTTTTGTCATTTCCAAAGCCTAGTCTGATAGTGAGTCCAAATCCTCCCCTACACAGCCCCCCCCCGTCACCCCTCCATGCTTCACCGTAGAGGGAATATCATTCCTGGATTTGCTTTGTCCCAAGCTACCCAGCACCCCTCTGTTCCTGTTCTCCCACTCCTCTCACCTCACTGTCCCACCCTCTCCTGTTCCCAACCCATCAACACCCCTGCAGCCCCCCACCCACAACCCATAAATAATCTTAGATTATTTATATGGCACCTGTGTCTGTTTGGATTCTGTCGAAGTTGAACAGAATGGATTTCAGTGTGTTAAAACACACTTAAATCAGACTTTATTGAAATCTTCGAGCAAATGAAGCTTTTTGGTAGGTTTTGTTCTGGTTTTATGTCAGTGCTAACCATTTATGACTGTCATATACATTTGCCATAATAGTAACCTAAAATGTGTCTATAATGTAGATCTGCATGTACTTTGGTTATGTAGATATGATCTGTTGTAAATTACTAACTAACTTCTGTGAAGCTGACTGAACTTTTTTCTCTTTGCTGCAGGGAATCTTCATGTACTTAACAAACCGTCACGACTTTGGGAGGCTCATTTCCACAGCCAATTATAACATTTCTCATTACAACAATGACTTGTGGCAGATATTTGAAAACCCTGTGGTAAGTCATTATGAGGTCCCATTATTCTTCAACCACAAAAAAGAAAAGGCTTTTTTTTTCTGAATAGCTGAGATAAACAGCAGCCACCTGTAAAAGGTCATTAGCCATAATGGAAGGATTACAGATGTGAGATGATTTTGAAATAATGACTTCAGTATGATAAGGTTCCTGTCTGATAAGGCTTTGTGATTTACAACTGTATTCAGCACGCTGCGACGTGCCCTGTGGGAGAGGGGATTAGCTCTGTGAGGTATGCAGGTCAGCAAAAAGTCCAAAAAAAAAAAAAAAAAGGTCCATCTAATTCCGAAATTCTTTCTCTGTGCAGGACTGGAAAGAGAAGTACATCCACCAAAACTACACTCGAATTTTCACTGAGAACCGCATGGAAGAGGTTTGTATTTTTGTGTGTGTATCTGCATGTGTTCAGGATGTAGAGAGACAGGGAAGAAGAATGACATAATGTCGCGCAGAAATACCACATCTGCTTTCAACATCCAGTATCTGGGTAGAACATTACAGTAACTGCAGCTCCAGGTGACGGTGTATGACTCAGGTTTATTAGTCAGATGTCTCTTTGTGTGTGCATTGCAGCCGTGTCCAGATGTTTTCTGGTTCCCAGTGTTCTCAGAGAAGGCCTGTGATGAAATAGTTGAGGAGATGGAGCACTACGGTTCATGGTCTGGAGGCAAACATGAGGTCAGTACTGTTAGCTCAGGTTCCCTGAACACAGATCTGTAGTCAGCACCTTGCAGGCACACATGCCCTTACTTCTTTCTGCGGTTATGTTGACACATCTTTGCTAGGGCAGGAAATGTGTGAAGGCTAATATTCAAGCTGAAAATAATTATCTTCTTCCGATTAATCAATCAATTGTTTTGTTTCTAAAATATCAAAGCACACCTTTAGCTCTGATGACGGAGCTAAAGATCTTCTCTTCCAATCGCTAACATCAGCATGAACAATGCTAACATGCCGACGTTTCGTAGATATAATGTTAACCATGCTCACCATTTTAGTTCATGGCGTAAGCATGCTAATATTTGCTAACACCACAAGCAGAGCTAAAAAATCTAAATGGATCAGTTAATAAACCTGCAAATCTTCTCAAATTTTTTGGTCATTTTCAATTTTGTCTCAATTGCCTAATTACTGTAGCACTAAATAACAACTACCAAAAAGTTTGTGGCAATTTAGATTGCCTCTCCATTACACATCAATTCCAACAATGTGCGCACAGTGGGAGACACCAGTGCTCATTTTCTAACATTCAGAAGACATTTGCTGTAATTTATTTATAAAACTTTCACAACTTTTAAATTGCCTGAGTTTGATACTTATGGTAAGGTTTGTTGAAAGTTTTGTTGCATTTGTGTTGTAATTAATCACACCCAGACACCATTAGGAAATAGTGGAAGTAAGGAAATAAATAATGCCTTGTAAACTTTATTGTAACAGCCATGTCTTTAAGATGGTTTGGGGAGCTGTTACCTTCAAGATAGCTTTCACACCCTTGTGTGAGGCAGATGTAGTGTAGCCATTTTTTTATTTTTACATTTTTATTTTATGTGTTTATAAGGACACACACAGACACACGACTGGTGTTCAGGGTGTTTGTATGTGCATGTTTAATATTATTACCATCAGGTAATAATATTAAGGTCATTTAAATATAATGAAACAAAACATTATGTATTGTGTTTTGTGTGTATGGTGTTTAATTCATGTGGCCTGCTTTATGTAGTTTGAAATTGTTAATTAATGTGCCTAAACTTTGCCTGAGAGACTAGACATGTACAGATCTTTTGACCAACTGTGTTTGGGAATCGCTGAGTGGGATGGGTCATTAACCCTGATGCAGGCAGACAACAGTACAGCCTGCGGTTTTGATGACACACACGCACACACAGACACGTCATCATCATCATCACTCTGAAAACCGCACTCTCACACACACTGAGGATGGAGGGTAATTTGTTCCGTTGTTAATCACACTGCAATGTGCTTTATTTTCTCTCCTTTTTTCTCAGGACAAGAGGATTGCCGGAGGCTATGAGACCGTGCCAACGGACGACATTCATATGAAGCAAATCGGGTTTGATAAAGAGTGGCTACACTTCATCCGAGAGTTCATATCACCTGTCACGTTGAAAGTTTTCTCTGGCTACTACACAAAGGTTAGAATGACTTCATGGAGAAATAAGGGAAAGATAAACACTGAACCCCCCCCCACCTCTATTTGCCCAAAAGCTGAAACAGCAGAAACAGTTAAATCTCCTCTTGAGACCTGTTTTTACATGTATTTGACATTCTTTGTTGAAAAGTGATTTCGAGCAGGTTTTGAAAAGATACACTGACTGTCAGCTAACTTGATGTATTCCTGTCCCCTCAATGCAGGGTTACGCTTTAATGAACTTCGTGGTGAAGTACACGCCTGAGAGGCAAGCATACCTGAGACCCCACCATGACTCCTCTACCTTCACCATCAACATCGCCCTCAATAACAAAGACACAGATTTTCAGGTACGGAGGAGGAAGAGGTGTTATGGGGAATGAGTCATACTGATAACGGAGTGGCATGTCAGCTAGATATCATCAAACTTGATTTAATCTCAACTCCTCCACTTACACCATCTTCCTCCTTAATATTCTTGTTAACCCTGTGACTTATTCCAGTATTATTCATCCAATTTAAATCTCCAACCACTGTCTGTTATCTCCTCTTTTAGGGTGGGGGCTGCCGTTTCCATAGGTATAATTGCTCCATAGAGTCACCAAGGAAAGGCTGGACCTTCATGCACCCAGGACGACTGACTCATCTCCACGAAGGCCTGCCCACCACCAATGGCACCCGCTACATCGCAGTGTCTTTCATTGATCCTTGAACTACCTGAGTAGACTGCAAATTAGTCTTTTGACCTTGCTTTGCTTTTTTTTTCCATCATGTTTGTTTAGTTTTGTCATTTGACGTTTTGGGCCCCATTTTTTTTTTTTTTCTGATGCAGTTCTGTCTTTTAAAGCAAGTGCTTTAAAAGATTAACTAATTGCATTAAAAAAAATCTCTGTCAAACAGAGTGTAGAGTGGAAAGGGAAGTGATAAAAGCAGTTCACACTTTAGATACACATATTGAATTAAATAAAAAATGCTAGCAGGGTACAGGGCTTCCATTCACATTCAAACCGTTTATATTTAGATTGAAAACCAAACTCCGAGCAGGAGCAGTTGGTACTGTAGGCCGTCATGATTTTCACAGTACTTGATTTACAGTTGTCATGGTAACGTCATTGACACACACTGGTGGCTTTGCTAGCAGTTAGCTGTAACATGCTAGTGTGCAGATAGCTGTTGTGTATCTATTTGTGTTTCAGGTAAAATGTCATTTATACTGTAAAAAAAAAAAAACTCATTGCTTCAATAATTACTACTGGTGCTCACCATGTTCTGCCTTCATAATCAATTATTTGGTGGGGTGTAAGTTAAGGTGTTTTTCCACCCTAAAGACAATCATTTGTTTGAGTCAATTGGGATTTTAATTAAAGTTTGATTTCTGCCCAGTGAAAAAAAAAAAAATCTATTTTTGTAATTTTGCACACCAGAAAAACAAGACAGCAGAATTCAGTATGAATTCTGTTTGAATGAAGTTCAATTTTCTGTTTTACTTGAAAGGCTTTCTTTCTTTCTTTCTTTCTCTCTTTCTTTTTTTTTTTTTTTGGAAATTGGCAACGTTCATTTGCTTTCCTGAAAACATTTTCTGCAATATTTTCTCTGAGAGATCTGTGTGAATAGATTTTGGGACTAAGCAAATTAAGTTGTTTAACTTATTGTTAAAATTTAATAAAAGTCTTTATTAAAAAATAATATAAATGTATTCCTTTTTGGTTTTACTTTTTACTCTGATTATTATCTGCATTATTAAAACATCAGTGATTTAGTAGGCTATTTAAAGCAAAAACTAGTCCTACTTCCTTTTTCTGCAACTTCAGATAATTCAAAATCAAGAAATTCCTCTGTGCAGAATTTGGCAGAAGCAAAGCCATGTCTGGGAGAGATCACTCGCCACTGGAGACAGACTTCCATTGTTTCATCACTGTTATCAGTTCATCTACCGCATCTGTCAAGCTGTTCTCCACTGAACACGTCACATGTAGAAACAGTCAGGCCCGGTCTGGACTGGAGCAGCGCTCTGCTGGAGGAGTAAGGACCGGAATGCTTCGGGCGTGGTGATGTACGTCAGTGCAAATGTAGTTCAGTTTACCTTAGGGGCTGAGTGTAAACATGTACATGTAACCGTATGAAAGTTGTGCAGATGGAGGTTGTAAGATTGATGACAGAATGGACGGGGAGAGTATGGAGGGTGGAACCTACAGAATACTTGTCATCCTGTAGAGAGGAGGGTCAGTGCTCACTGACTTTAGAACTGATTATCATTTTAATCAGCCAGTTGGACTGAGTAATCTCACTAAACCTGATCAACTTTTGAGAACTATAAACAGATATACAAGAGAACTGTGATTTCATTTTTAGCAGTTACAAGCCTCTCTGTGTGTACCATCTAGAAAACCAAATACAATATTGATGTTAGATCACTCCTTCACTTACTTACATCATCTGGAGTCTCACCTCCCTATCAAAACTCATTATTTTTTAGCACCCACAGCTCTGGGGTCCTGCAGGGTTGACTCCCTGACTAGGCACACGATTCTGCTTCTCCCTGTGAAGCCTGGATGAAGGCTGAATGTCTGAGACGCTGAGCAGAGGGGCAGAGAAGGAGGAGATTTAGGTCAGCATGGGGGAAAGGCTCTGTGCTGCTGAAAGAGCCCTTTGTGGCCATCGTTTCCCCTGGTCTGCCCTGTGTCCAGGCCCTCTGAAAGGTGACATTGATCCCAGCCAGGCGTGGAGGAAAAAGCTGCATTCCAAGCAGGTTCTCACAGGAATGACTTTATCAGAAGGCAGAAACGGAGGAAAACGTTTGATTTATTTCTAAAGTTAGATGAAGAATGAAGCAAAGTGAATATTGGGAATGCAAGTGCAGGTTGTTGTAGAGCCTTTCCCTCAACTCTGGAGTGCGTGTTTTTACAGGCAAAGCTGAACACACCAGGAGGCCACACACTCCCTGTTTAACCCAGTGAATACTCATGCTTAGGGGTCAATGGCTCTAACGATGGGAAACACGATACTATACCAGAGTATATTCAAGTGTGCCACAAACTGCAGGGTGCCCAGTAACAGACAGTGATTTAGCCATTATGGCGGCATACATACTGGTCCTGACTAAACAAAGGATTTAAATTAAGTCTTTGCAATGATCCAAGAATGCAAGTGCCTGAGGCCAGTCCGTGTGTGGGGGTACACTGACTGGTGTGCATGGTTTAGAGGAAGACAATCATGCTATGTGGTGGGCATGAGCAGTTTCAAGCCTATATTGTGTGCCACTTATGAGCCATTTTCCTATTTATTTTTAGTCACATATTTACCACTTGGGGCTATGAATCAAAGTCTTATTACAGTACATGAGTACCAGCTTTTATGACCTGGTAGGTGCCACAGAAAATTTGGAAAATGTTTTTTTTTTTTTTTGCAGACTTTACAACTGGTCTTGAAAGTAGACCCTGTCCTCATTCATTCCAACTGAAGACATACGTGCGACAATGCACACCTCAGTGATGGGGTTTTAATCATTTTTAGATGACATCGGAGGTCTACAGCTAACCAGGGATGTTAATGGCATCAATTTATTTTTTTGTATTGGTATTTTCATTGTTCTTGTTGATAGTAAACATATAGAATATCACCAGCTTCACCCTTTAAGTCATTTTTCTTATTCTTGTGGAATAGTTTTGAAGCAGATACTGTGGGTTAAATAAATAACCGTCTCGCTTGAAATCTAGCTAAACAAGCAACTTGTTCATCCAGAAGCCATCGTATGATGTACTATGTGTGTGTGATATATACAATATCCCACACAGTTTACTTCATATAAATTTCTCAAATTGTGTTTAGAGAAGAGGAGGGTAGGGGAGGGAGGCATCCGAGTTCAGGCACAGTGCAATTGTGAGTCATATTAGTGGAAAAGTACTGGGATACAACCAGAATACAGTGAGGAAATGTTCAATACAGCTGTACACAGATGGATTTGAGTGTGAGTGTGCGTGTGCGTGTGTTAGTGGATTAGTTTGTGTTCATTATTGATACATGTGTGTGCAGTTCATAGGAAGTTACATTATTAAATTTCACATTTCAAACAAAGCATGTGCGTGTGTGTGTGTGTGTGTGTGTGTGTCTGTCTGAGAACGATGAATACATTGAATAAATAAAATAAAATAAAAAATAAATAAAAGAATGTTTGAAAGTTTAAAACAAGACCTCCTCTGTGTAATTTGTTACTTGGCAGCGTGACACCTCTGCTAAACGACCCCCATTTTCAACATTCTTTGAAAAACAGGAATGCTGAGATATGAGGCCGGCTGTTGTTTTGATACTTGTTCATTAAGCGTACATTCACCAAACCAAAGGAAAGTGAGACTGAAATCAAAATGCATGAAACAAAAAGGTGTTCAGGGCAGCTGCTTGCGCAGTGTCAGTAAGTTCCATCATTATTACAGGCTAATAAAGATAAAATACTCGTTCTTTATGTTGATCCCCACTTGCTTATAGGGAAGTTTTTTGGTGCTAGTTTATCATCTTTACAATAATGCAAGGCAAACAAAGATGCTTACATACCCTATATATTTACGGAACTTGTTTTTAGCTTATATTGTTCAAATATAAAAGTTAATCATCTCTCAGATTTTAGTGGCATCAAATTAACATTTAGAGTTCACTTTCTTTATTAAAACCTGTATATTCCCATTACAGCCTGTTTGCCCTGTATACACTGAAGAGAAGAAGCCTTTAATTCTTCAATTTTCACAACTTAAAACCACTGACAGTGGCAGCTCAAAAACATTGTAAAAGTTTCTGAGTAAACTTTATTGGGCTGTTAAAAAAAATAGACTGTGAGAATTCATGTGTGTAAAGTCACTGCTCACTTTTATGTTGGGAAACTTTCATATTAGGCTAATACCTGTGATCAAAAATGATTAAGACATGTCCTAAAACCTGATATATCAAATGATCCTTATTGTGTAATTCAACCAAAATAGTACTTCTTATTTCAAGGCTGCCATCATGCCTATCTCCCAGGTAAGTAATCAAATATGTCCACAGTCAACAATACCAATTATCGCTGATTGTATGCTTTGAGACTATCAGCACACTCCCTTTTTACCAGCCAGACTGTTTACCATCTCAGAGTAAACCGGGTGCAAGTACCATTTAGCCAAATTACACATAGCAACGCTCTGTAAAAACAATCTGCAGCCCCACACTCCCAGACAGATATTGATTTATGGAGAAGACAAAAGTAGAGTGGAGAATGGGTGGAGGATGGAGAGTTTTCAAAACCCACAGAAGCTCCGTTTATAGTAAGTGGAGAAAAATATAAGTCACACAATGTGCCTTTTATGAGCTATTTTGGGGTCTTCTGAAAGATCCTTCAGTGTGTTTAGTCTGGTTTTGCTCCTCCAATCGGTACTTTGCAGATGCAGATGAAAGAAGGGGAGTGTAGGGTATTCTGGTGTCAGGGTGTTTGTCTATGTGTGTGCCCTTGTGTGTGCGGAGGCTACGTGTCTTAGGTCAATATGGGCAGAGAGGAAGGAGCAACAGGAGGCCGCTGCTCGGACCCTCAGAGCCCCCATGTGGGTACAGACTGTCTATACCATTTCTAAACTGGACGTCAAACAATTTGCCACTGCGAAGTGAGAAGTCTGGCAACAACAACACTGACAGGAGAAGTTCTGCTTGCAGCATTATCCATTAATCTTTGATGTGACAAGTGCAAGCTCTGATGCAATGAAGAGCAGATATACAGTTCCGCAGAAGTCAATCCCACGCGCCTGCGGGCAAAGTAGAATTTCTGACTTGACTGTTTTTTGACAGGTTGATGCGTCAGATGAAATATACCGATCAGGGTGATGTTATTATTGGAGCAATCACATTGATTGGTCTTGTTTCCTCGTGTTGGTTTGTTGAGATTGTTTAAGGAAATTAATAATATATTTTGAGACAAAAAAAAAAAAAAAACGGAAATATGGTTGAAATGGTTAAAATGTTGACACTGACAAGCAGAGGAAAGTCATATGAAATGTCTTTGATGTTTCTTTTAGACAGGCCCAGATGTCAGATGATGCTACTGTCTGCAATGTTTGTTGAGGACTGTCATGTGGTCAATGTCCTTGCTACTTTCATCAGAGTTAGTTTGTGAGTCTTGGCACAGTGTCGAAGATGGCCACCCACACTTGCCATATCCACGACGCGTCACAAGAATCTGATGTTTGTGGAGAGTGGGTTGTAAAGGCCTAAATATATCACTGTTTGATAGTTTTAATTTAAGTTCCGCAAAAGGCGGCTTTACCTTTGAGGATAAATGAAAGCACAAAATACATCAGGAAAAGATAGAATAATAAATAATTAAAGTGTCTTTGAATATATAAAGTTAAGCATCCAAAACTAAAAATATTTTACAGGTTAGGAATATGTTTTTTTGTCATAAAGGCTGCCAGGCCAATATGTTCACACCCTTATGCCAACTATAGTGTCTCAGAAACTTGCAGATAAACATTTTTCTCAGGCTGTGTATGATTTTTTCTTTCCTTAGTACAGTAGGATAGAAAAAAATCTAACAACCTTAACCTTCTCCATCTATAGCAAAAAGTATTTAACTGAGGAAGTGGGGCAGCCTGTGTGTGT